CACAGTACCGACACAGTATCAATACAGTTTGGGTAATGTGCCACAACGCTTCATGAGGCCTCACCTACCCATCCCTACTTACATTGGAATCAGTCCAACAGACACATGGAAACTGACCAAACACTCATGTCAGGATACAAAAGGAAGTTGGCCCCAACCAGGCCTCTATTTATGGTGCGGGAGGTGACTCACCACTTGGTACGTCCCTGTGGGAAGGAAGGCAAACTGCATGCGGTTTCTAACAACCAGTGTCCCACTGGACCGGTGAACGACCATGGGAGCTCGGCCACCAGTGACCGACTGCAGCTCAACTATATGGGCAAAATAACCGTTCCATATTTCACCATATCAGGTCTCACAAGGGTTGCTGATGAACCGGTGTCCATCAGTGCAGACATGCTTCCTATCTCTATCTTTACACTCTTGCAAAACAATCTTACAAAATATGTGCAGAACATAACATATTTTTATATCAAGTCCCATGTTGCGCCAATAGGCCACCATTAACATGATTAGACTCTCCATACTAAAAACTAAATTTCTCATCAGAGAGCTCTTACCAATATTTGGGGTCCCGGATCAAATTAGCTCTGACAATGGCACTCACTTAGACAATGCAATAATTGAAAAAATAACGCAAACAATGAGCATAAAACAAAAGGTTAGATTAAATAAACACCATCCCCAATCACCAGAAGTGGTGGAATGTTCAAATGGCACCTTTAAAAACTGATTAGCAAAGATTTGTAGGGAAACTACAATGGATTGGTTGACTGTGCTTCCACTTGCACTAAGAGACTTTGCTTAGATTAGAAAAATGTATTAATCCCCAGTGGTGAAACTCATTTGCCACCAAAATATTGTACAGACCAATACAGACAACAATAGACACAGCCAGCAGCGCACAACAGACAGGAAACATGTTACTAGCAACAAACAAGACTAGAAGATGCCTTATAAAACATGATGGACATCAGAAAGATGCTAAACCTAAAGGTGTTCATTCAAAAATTGAACTGTTGCTGGAATAAAAGACTTGTCCCGTGTTCTCTTTTCTATAGTGACTTCTACAGAATCAGGTGGAAGGCCAATCACTGAACCAGCCCCCCGCACCCACAGAGCACAGCATGGAAGAGAACACTAGCTAAAATCCCCTGATAAAAAACATGAGTCTTTCTGAATGCAGACAACCCAAACAATGCACCTAACCTAACACCTAGGTTAGCATGTGTGGCTATTCGAAAGAAACATAGGATCTAGTTTATAATTTAATTGAAATTGTACCAAATCGTCAGATACCAGCAACGCCACCATGGGAATTTCACCCAAGGATTAAGTCTTGCCCACACAGTAGCAAGAAGTCCTAATACACTCAGGCAACTGCCCCCGTGCTCAACGACGCCGGAGAGAAGTAAGTCGAGGAGGACTTCTCTTCTACACCAAATCAACCACAGACAAGATCAGCGGCCAAACATCAAGCTCGTCTCAACATCGAAGATGCAAGGTACTACTGAAGCTTCTGGTGATTTTTTTCCCGACAGAACGACTGCTAACAGGAGAAAGACCAGTGACGTCCCACTAAAGACCAACCATCAACAAAGCCGAAACATTCTAGAGTCGGGAGGGAAGAAAAACTGGGACTGGATTGCGTTTGAAAGAGTGATGCTCTTTCAAACGCAGTACAGGTGAAGTTACTTTATGGATAAAATAAAAGTTTTTCAAGTAGGTCATAAGCAAAACAATAACCTGTACCTCTTTTTTTCATTTGTATTTTTTAGCTGTGAAGAAAACATGTTTCATGTCTTTAATTTCATGTAATTTCGGTTCAAATCTCCCTCCAACTATTCCAAATTATTTTTCCAATAAACCTTTCTTTATACCTCCTGTTATAAATCCTCTCGCTTATGGTTTTGAATTGACCAAAATTAGTGAGTAATTCCGTGCAGTATTCACCATGCATTTTTGGATGCAATAAGGAAACTCAAATAAAGATACTTATTATGAACCTCTGAAAAGATTTATTTTCTTTAAATGTTTATATTTGTAATGCATTGTGTCACGAATTGCCCTTCCCACCTGCAGCCCATTCCCTCATTAGCTCCTCACTATTTAGGTCCCCACACTTCCACTTGTCCTCTGCCAGATTGTCTTGTGTACATGCCAAGTTTTCCAGTGTTTTCCCCGATTACCGATATCCCGTCCTGACCTAGCCCGCCTTCTTTTGACCACGAATTCTTCGCCTGCCCCCTTTTTGGATTTGTTTGCCTGTCGTATTGCCGTCCTGTTTCTGGACCCTGCCTGTCCCCGTTTACGTATTTCCTGCCGGCCCCTCTGGATTTGTTTGCCCATTGGACTGCTTTCCTGGTTTTGACCCTGCCTGTATAAGTAAAGAACTTTTGATTGGATTCTGCCTCGGAGTTGTGCTTTTGGGTTCAAATACCTGTAACCCTTACACGTTGTTAGTCCCACTCAGCTAATTGCAGCAAGTTAAAAACAAGTTCTCTTTCTAAAAGTTTATTTGGTTGCTTTGAATTCCCAGCTTGTGCGTTGCTATAGTTAGAACATATCAACAACGTTGAGAAGAGGGACCAGGCACTGTGTTGAGGGTGGAGGTAGACAACACAGGCAATAATCACAATGATTAGTAATCAGTGATTACTAACCACAATGGATAACGCATCTCAAATAACATCATTTGTTCTTTCAGGTTTAAATGTGATGAAGTACCAACAAGTTGCTCTCTTCTCTCTAACTTTTATATCTTATTGTTCTGTTGTGGTGGTAAATGTTGCTGTTATTGTGACCATCATCTTGGATAAGAACATGCATGAACCAATATATATTCTACTGTGCAGTTTCTGCATGAATGGACTTTATGGGACAACAGGTTTCTACCCAAAGACTCTGTGGGATCTGCTGTCTGCTGTTCATGTGATCTCTTATTCTGGATGCCTTGTTCAGGCTTTCGTGATGGAGTCATTTGTCTCCAGTGATATGTCCATTCTTGCAGTAACGTCATATGACAGATATATGTCGACCGCTGGTGTACCACTCTGTCATGTCAAAGAGACTTAATATTAGTGTCTTTCTCCTGGTTCACACCTTTTTGCATTTCTGCCGTGACTATGACCCTCACATCTAGATTAAAGTTATTCAGCCCATATATTGCCAGACTTTATTGCATAAATTGGATTATTGTGAAACTTTCTTGTTTCCCAACTGACACTATAGTTAAGAGCATAGTGGCTAAAATAGTAATAATAAATTCCTTATTTCAGGTGTCTTTTTTAGTCTGGACCTACGTGTATGTCATCAGAACCTGTGTGACGTGTGTGCCACATTTACCCTCCTTGCTCATTTTTACTGTCACTATAATGGTTGATATTTTTAATGTAAGATTTGGATCTCTCTCCAACCACTCAAAATGTTATTGCAATAGAGCTTCTCATTATACCTCCGATCATGAACCCTAACCCTCGTTTATCGCTTTGAATTGACCAAAATTAGGAACAATTTTGGGTGGTTTTAATTTAAAAAATAAAATGCATCATCGTGTTTGATAAGATAACTGAAGGGAGGAAAATAATCCACTAATATTTTTATACATTTTTTGAACTTTTGAAATATGATCTTTATATGTAATTTCATGTTTACTGAACTCTTTGCCTCATTGTAATAAGTAGTTAAATTAATGTAATAGATTAAATCTGACACCTACCACTGTTAAAGAGTTTTGGCTGTGGCTTTGCTCTGGAGACTGCACATGCACAAGATGAGAACAAGGGAAAAGGCAGTGTTATAAAAAATATACACATTGTACTATACATTTGTATGTCTATTTTAAAAGTGAATTCCACGTGCCAGCTGAGAAGAAAGACCGTAAGACTTGAGTGGACACTATCTTTCTTCTATATCAACTTGCAATGTAAAGAAAGATGTTTATTTGCATCCATGATTCCTAAAAATTGCTTTCTAACTAATCGTATTGCATGAGCATGTGTTGATTTGTCACTCTGACTGTTTAAGAACATTCATCCAACATCAATAAAAGGGTTTACCTTTACCTAAACATTAAGAGGTTGAGGGGATGGCCTCGCTGTTTTGTGTTTTTTAAAAGACATTTATATTCTTCAATATTATGGGCAAGCTGAAATCCTCACTTCCTGAGATGTCGGCCTAAACCCAGTAGACATTGGGTTTTTCGTCGATACTTCACTTACATGTGTGTTTATTTCACCTCTTGACCACCACTAGAGATATTATTTTTTACAGTATATGGTCAAATCTAAACAACTTATCTCCATTACCTCTACATTAACATTAATAACAATGATTATTTTAACGGAAAGAAAATCTTACTTATTGTACAACTCATACAATGGATCGTACAACAACTCTTTGATCCTTCATGTGTGCAGTAAGATGTTGGAGATGTTCCACCAGTCTGTTGTGTCCAGAGCCACATACTCGTCATATGTCTGCTGCAGGGCGCGCGCATTGGAGCCAAAGACACCATCCAACTCTACAAAATGGTTATGAGGACCGGCTCCATCATTGGTGTAAAACTGGAAAGTCTGGACGAGGTGATGGACGGAGGTTGAACGGATGAATTGCATGTTGGATAGCAGGAGCACCATCTGCACCAAGTGCTGAAGGGACAGAGGAGCCTTTTTCCAAAAGACTCATCGGGCCACATCAATCACACCACTATCCTTCAACACCTTCACATCATTCTTTGTTTTGTTTAATCTTTGCACTATTTTTTTGTTAGTTAATTGAATTTCCTACTTTTCTATTCTGTTTATTTTGTGTATTTCTATATTTTAGATTAATATAGTAACTATCTATCCATGCACCTATAGAAAAAGAGGTGTATGTTGATTGGTCGGTTTGAATTCCCAGGTCATGCGTTGCTATAGACAGATGATATTTATAACAGTGGGATGAAGAAACAGGTTTTGTGTTAAGGGTGGAGGTTCACAACACAGGAAATAATGACAATGATTACAAACCACAACAACTCTCATATAACATCATTTTTTCTTTCAGGTTTAAATGAACCAATGAACCTCAGAGTTGTTCTCTTCTCTGTCACTTTACTGTGTTACTGTTTTATTGTGCTGGTAAATGTTGCTGTTATTGTGACCATCATCTTGGATAAGAACATGCATGAACCAATGTATATTCTATTGTGCACTTTGTGTATAAATGGACTTTATGGGACAACAGGTTTCTACCCAAAGTTTCTGTGGGATCTGCTGTCTGCTGTTCAAGTAATATCTTATTCTGGATGCATTTTTCAGGCTTTGGTGATGTACTCATTTGTCTGCAGTGATTTGTCCATTCTTGCAGTAATGTCATATGACAGATATGTGGCTATATGTCGACCCCTGGTGTACCACTCTGTCATGTCAAAGAAGATACTTTTAATGTTTATCTCTTTCTCCTGGTTCACACCTTTTTGCATTTCTGCCGTGACTATGATCCTCACATCTAGATTGAAGTTATGCAGCCCATATATTGCCAGACTTTATTGTGTGAATTTGAATATTGTGAAACTTGCTTGTTTAACAGCTGAAACTGTTGTTAACAACATAGTATCGAACCTAACAGTAACATTTTTCTTATTTCAGGGGTTTTTAATAGTTTGGTCATACGTGTTTGTCATCAGAACATGTGTGAATTCTTTAGAAAACAGGGCGAGGTTCATGCAGACATGTGTGCCACATTTAACCTCTTTGCTCTTTTTTGTTGTGACTATGCTTTTGGATGTCTTTAATCTGAAATTTGGTTCAAATCTCTCTCTAACCATTCAAAATGTTATTGCAATAGAACTTCTCATTTTACCTCCCATCATTAATCCTCTGGTTTATGGCTTTAAACTGACCAAAATTAGGATCAGAATTTTAAGTGTTATTACATTTAAAATTAAATGAAAAGGAAACTCAAACTCCTGAAAAAATGCACTTATATCATTTTTGTAAAAAGCCATGTGTTAAAAATGCAATGTAATTTGCTTTGGATAAAAGCGTCAGCTAAATGACCTGTATTGAAATGTAATGTATATGAAATCTTATACATCTACAAATGTAACTTTGCTCATATCGTAATTATATTTGCATACTTACATGATCTGCCATCAGTGAAAAGTCTAGATAAAGATTGGATGATTCGTGTCCTTATGAAATTGTTTGCACTTGTTATCCTTTTGCTGCCTCATTGCAGTTACAAGTTAAAAGAATGTTAATACAAAACCGGACATTGCATTTGAGACTACACTTGTACAAAAGGTCAAAAGACATATGCCAAATAACAAAGAATATGTCAAAAGACCGGACACAAGACCGGACACAGTTTAAATCGCTATCTGGAACCGAAAAAAAAGATTCACATAACACAAAGTCCAAAGGGAGACGAGCAACCTGTACCTGACTTGGGCTTCATGATAGCATAGTTCATTGTCTGCGTATAGCTACTGGTTAAATGTATATCTTATACATTTAAATGTACAAAATGTATGTCTGTCTCATACAAAATGTAGAAATTCCTAATAATTTCACCCCATAACCAACTGACAATCAACGTCTCCTATTTCTGGGAACTCTGCTCGCCCCTCCATCCTTCATCCTTTCTTTCTTATCCTTATAAATTCATCAGTGATGACAACATTTCTGATTAACAGCGCAGTATTGAAGTCTGATGAAACGTGTCCCTATCACGGCAAACATTTGATTGGATAGAATAAATTAGAAATATTGTTATTACACAAATTACAATCTCTTATTTCCCATCATTAGAATTTTGTGATTTTATGAGAAAATCAAACACTTTATGAATATATGAAATATGTTAGAATGTAGTAAGTATGTCATGGGTGGATTTAATGTAGTTAATACTGGAGTTTTGAGGCCACCTAGTGGACATAAACTGTCCATGCCATTTTTAAATTTAAATTGTGTACTTAGGAACTTTGAAACAGGCCAGTTATCATTGAAAATACATGTAATACCAATTATATTAAATATATAAATAGCAAATGGATCATCAGACCAATAATAGCAAAACTATACATTTAACCAGTAGCTATACACAGATAATGTACAATGCATGTTATCATTCAGCCCAAGTAAGGTACAGTTTACTCTTTGGCTTTTGGCCTTAATATCGTATAAATCATTTATTTTGTTACAGATATTCATTCAACATGTATCCTGACTATTTCTACTTCAAGATCTGAGATATTTATTGTGATGTGCACAGTTTAACAGGTTACTCTGTACAATGAAATTATTTCTCCTTCCAAAGCAACGGATGTAAAATTTAAAAAAAAAATAGAATTTGTGTGGCATTTGTCTATTCTAACTTTTTGTATCTCAAATGTATGCTAAAAAAATGACTTTCAGATTAATATTACTACTACTAATTGCAATCAGGTAGACAAACAAGGGAACACCTGAAAAGCTTAAATTTCACCACCGAGCATTGAGGCAAGAACAAAGTGAGAGAGACAGTGTCCCGTGCAGTCAGCTTTACTTTGAGTGTTTCAGTGTGAGTATTTAATCAACAGTAGCATCATGAGATTATTGTTTTACCTGTACACAAACACTGTGTTAGTATTAAAATTACTGCTGAAAAACGGACACGAGCAAGACTCCCAAACCTATCCCACTCGTAGAGCCCGGCGGGCCTTGACTGCACGAGTATTGGTATAACATAAAACCAATAATTCCATTTGACCATCTAGTTTGATAGTTGAAGAGGAAAATGTATGTCAGTGACCCAAGCCAAAATGAAAATAAAGACAAATCTTAAGTCAAATGAAATTGAGAATCTTGTGAGTTTGGAGACTACGTTCGTTCAGAGATCTGAGATTATTCCTGCGAACCACATTTGGGTGAGTGTTGTATATTGTGCAATGTTTGTATACGTTATTATGTCCAACAAAAGATTGGTGATGGAAGAGGTTTGGATCGAAAGATTCAGGCAAAAATAAGATCTGGTGGGAAACACTCAAAGCCGTTGCAATGTCCCACTGAATTCAACATTTGATAACATAATGGCGTCATTTAACTCGGATCCCACATTTTCACTCTGTAGGTTATGTAAACAGGTCATTTATTTAACGTTTCACTGGGTTGGTATTATTCCAAACACCCCGAGCGGAAGCGCATTTAACCCGCGGCACCTTTACGCTCCTCGTTGCGCGCGAGAGAGAAAAAAAAAAAGATGTCGTGTCGCCTCCGCACCGCTGGGCGGCGCTCGTGCATCGTCACCCACCGCGACAGAAACACCGAGACGAAGGAGACCGCCGACGGCCGGCTGAGAGCACCGCAGTGTGCACGCGACCGTACGGCAGCCCGGTCTCCCGTTCCTCCTCCTGCGACGACGCGCAGCGAAGCCGTCACCTTTGTTTTGAGGCGAAGTGGCGGAGAGGATCCCGAGGGATCCGAGGAAACACGAACTTCACGTCGCGGCGCAAACCGTGAGTGGGCTGTCTGCGTGTTATTTTGGGGTTTTGCGGAGGATGAGACGAACGCGGTTGCTAATGTGATTTGGGTTCCGGTTGTGTTTATGTAAGATCAGGCTGACAATCCAGGACGCGGTTCTTCACCCGGAGAAATGCGGATGGGGGCTCACCATCATATGGACTTCTTCCATTCGCGTTGCGAAATAGCCGTGTGTGTGTGTCTGTCTGGGTGTGTGTGTGTGTGTGTGTGTGCAGCGGGATTTATGGCTGTCATCCTCCCTCAGCGTTTGCCTGTCAGTGGAGCCGGCGGAGGTCTCGCCGGGAGACCGCGGCACGTAGCTGCGATGCCCGGGGAAACTGTGGCACGAATGCTAAGCTAAGCTAGCGCGGTGCAGGTACGCGCCTCAGTGTGCGGATGTGCACGCATGTTTTGCACAGCCCCGCTGAGCGGTGCGGAGGTTTGAACCGAGCGGACGCCGCGCGCTGACCTGCGTACTCAAACGAAGCGGCGCAAACCCGTGCGGCGTTTCGGAAGCGCCTCGTTTCGCTTCTGAAAAGTGCAACAACTGAGTTTGTTTTTTTACATAAAGGGGAAGCACGTGGACACTCCGAGAGGAATCCTGTTTTTGCTGCATCCGTGCTGTGACCGGTAATGCTGAGCGATGAATCCCGAGTGACGTCTCCCCACGATGCACCTTGACCTGTGGACGCTCTGCGTCACGTGGGTCAGTTACCTGTCCGCCAGCGCGCGCATTTCACCGGAAACAGTCAAACATAAAATACGTGAGAAAAGCCCCTCGCTATTGCATATGAGTGGCAACTCCGTTCTTCCCAATGTTCTGTGCGTAGCAGCATTAAAGCGTGATGCGGTTAGCTAGCTAGCTAGCTAGCTAGCCGTTCGCTCTCTGTGGTTGAATCGGCTTTGGTGTGTTTTCTTAAAAGTTATTGCATCTTTTAAAGCAAGGATTTAACAAGGTGGCACAATACTGAGAGATCCTGCGGGTATGTCAAAGACTTACGTTATTTAAAGAGTCGACACGCGTGAAACACAAAAGTATGAAAATCGCACAGCATGTTTGCGGCCTGGTTCCTAAACGCTGTGGGTATTTCTTTGCTAATATCTCTATATATATCTTTATATCTAATAATATATTTTTGAGCACTTGGATGGTCTGTCCATTTCTGTCCATCATTGTCTTAAGGTGAGAGGTTCAAGAGAGTCCTTGAAAAAGGTCTCTTGTGGCTCACGCCGCAGATTTCTCTGTTAAAATATGAGTCTACTTGGCGGCTGGTGCGTATCGATGTATCTGGGGTCAAAAAAAGTTAATTGAAAGCTGTTTGTAGGTTTTCCAGTGGATGGAACGCAAGCTGCAGCGTTCGGCTCCTCGCTGCTCATAAGAAATTACAGCGTTCTTCTCTGATGGTTTCACTTCGGTGTGACACTGGGCTGTTGTGGGCTGCTAGTGGCAATAAATTCACAAGACGGGCAGACAGAAGATATAAAACTTGAAATCTGGTAATCACAGAACCCTTTATTTTCTTTTTCCTCAAAGAGAAAATGCTTGTTATTGTTATTGAGGCAGCAATAGTGCTGCAAAGGGGTGGAACATTTCCCAAAACTTGTTGTTTTTAAACGCCTTTGTCATTATCATCATTATTACTATTTTACCATTAACCATGATTACTGCTAATAAAAGGGTGAGCAATAAAAACGTAACTCAAAACTAGATGTGAAAGATGTATGACATGCAGCACATGCTGTGTTCCGTTTTAAAGGATCTAGCTAGCAACATTGACGTAGACCTGAAAGGATTCAGGGGAAAACACTGAAACCACAAGCTTGAGAAGCCTAATTAATTTTAAGTGGATGCTTTTTTGGGAGGGGTGCGTGATCATACAAAATACACTATTTTATTTGTTGTTAATGTTTTTGTTCAATGAAAAAAGTTCTCCACACAAATGGATTAAGTCAAAAATGTAATTTTTAAAATGTGTATGGGAAATGGTTGCATGCATGTCTGCTTATGACAAAACAAACTTTTGTTGGAAACGCATGCAAACATTTGCAAACAAAATTTTGTTTTCTCATATATGACGAGGTAAATACAGTTAAATTACCCCAAAATATCCAGTTAATTCCCGTATATTCCAGTTAATTCCCATGGAGAGTTTACAACTTTGAATATTCCTGGAATTTTACAACCTCAGGCAGCAACAATGTTCACTTATGGTGAACCACAATGAATGCAGCAATGGCAATAAAATGTAACCCCCAACCCTTGTTCATGAGAATCTACATGTGTCTTTACCTCAACAGGCTTTGAGGCTTTCATATATTACAAAAGGCTCAGTGATTGTGCTTCAAACTTCATGCACGGCCTCAAACCCTGAACCGTCGGGTCCTCACTGACGCCACGTGCTAAGTGGCTGAGTCTGAGACACTATGAGGGTTTAAATGGTGTTGAATCGAATGTGTATAACGTTACCGTGGCAACGTCAAAAAAATGTAGGTTGTAAAAAATGAAAGCAGCAATGGACGTGTTAAATGACAAGATGAAGTATTTAATAAACAAATGAGTTAATGTCTTTGAATCCTTAATTATTCTCTGTAAATGTAATATTCCAGTATGAACTCGCACCTTTTTTTTTAAGTCTCCATGCTTCCAACGATTATCCTGTGTTTAACGCTCACATTGCTGTGACTCGTGGGTAATTCCCTTGGGCAAAGACAGCATTTAATGCTGACTTACAGAAAGGGTCCCTAAAGGGCTAGAAATGTCTCCCAGAGACAAACGCTCAACGATTTGACAGTGGGACAGAACTAAACAGTCAGCGCCTCAAAGTACGGCTGTCCCTGTAAGTGGAGATTGAGATTGGGCCACAGTTCATTTTCAATACTCTTTTCATGAGGGGGATCCCTAAAGGCCAACACATTAACAGTAGTTTGGAGCAAGAAAATAGATACATTGCAGGATTAGAACAAAAAACGGGACCAATAAACTGTAGAATCTGTAAAAAGATGTTAACTCACATTTTCCAAATCACAGCACTAATATGGAGACTTACTTTTTGAGTAAATATCTATTTGATCCAAAATGATAAGTATGTAGATCTTCCCCTCCCCAGGTCCCAGGGCCTTTTCTTGGGGTGGTCAACCATTGTTTGGACCATTATCGGGAGTTAATCGCATGCACACCGCTATTTTTAGCATAACATTCCATACATTGGGTGTATGGAACCTCCATGCAAAAAAAGTTCCACTGAGAACCAAAGTTGTTAAAACCTCCTGTCTGATTTCAATATTAGTTTTCCTCTGTATTGCCACGCTAATTATTACAACTGACCGCCATGGGAAATAATAATCATCTGCACTTTAATCAAACCTCTCTGTTCCATGAGAATCCCATTAGTCTGCTACAAGCCCTGACTGTGGACTGCACTGTGTGCGTGAGCGCGTGCCTGTAATTGAGGTTTGGCAAAATCCAGTCGTGAGTAGTCTGCTAAAGCTAAACACTGACTGAGGGCGGCACCCTTATCAAATCCTGATCAGAACCAAGTCGTAAGGGGCCAGTTACACCAGGCCTCTGTGTGTGTGTGTGTGTGTGTGTGTGTGTGTGTGTGTGTGTGTGTGTGTGTGTGTGTGTGTGTGTGTGTGTGTGTGTGTGTGTGTGTGTGTGTGTGTGTGTGTGTGTGTGTGTGTGTCACAGCAACGGCTGCAGAAGATAACAAGTTGAAAGGGAGGGAGCTCTGAGCAGCCGTCCAAAGTGTGTGTGTTCTGTTACGCTCACACGTTGTGCTGATGTCTCTGGCTGTTGTTCACTCTGGGTAACTTTAATTACCCGGGGGGGGTTTGTGACGATTGTCCCACTGTCTTTACCGGACCAAATTAATACCAATTTTGGTCGAGATGAATGATTGTTTGCAAGCCAAATATTGATCACACGTCTACCGTGAAATAAAATCTCTGCAGCTGCCTCCAGTTCTTGGTGCCTTCCTGAGCGTATTTGTTTCCCCCAGCAGTGCCTCAAAAACCCCTCCGTTTGTACTGTTGTGCATGTTTCTTCAATAAAGCTAACAACGTTTTACAAACGGAAGTCCCGCTCTTTGTCTATAAGTGCTTTTGGGGGGAAAAAACATTTGCCGAATGAACTAAACTCTCTTGACTTCCGCTGGCTCGTTATCAGCGGCCACCCGTGATCCATTTGTTGCGTACCACTACGCATCCTGTCTGCTCTTCCTGAAACACACATCCTGTTTTCTTCTCTCACACTTAGTTATCAGTAGATCGTAGTTTCCACCTAATATGGGAAAAAGTTTGTACATCTGTTAGGAGCTTCAAACAACCCTCTCGCTCTAAATAAAAGGCACGTTAGATGTAATTGAAGCGTTCCCAGTTCACACGAGAACATACGTAGGCTCTGATGCGGAAGAGACGCAGAGGGGTTGCAGTACTTTTTCTCTTTTTACCCCAGATTTATCTCATCATCACGCCAGGACGCATTAAGCATCAAGAGCGTGCGCTCCGGGTTCGGATCCTCAAGCCAGAACACATGCCAGCTGCATTGAGTTCAGAGCACAGTTCAAGTGTGGAAAGCATGTGGGCAATTTATCCAATGATCCCGCCTTCCCACCACCACAACACATACATACGCACACACACTAGAGTCCCTGTAAAGGGAGGAGAGGACACAAAGTGGGCCGGGAGCACGACTGAGACCTGTTGCCTGAGTGGCACAATAAAATACTTCATTGTGAAGAATTGAATGACTGAATTACAGCCTTTAAAACCAGGGAAACCCAACATGTGTGCCATGGTACAACTATATTAATGCATTGAACAGCCCCAATGCGGACGTAGTTCCTACCTGCCACATTCAATGACATGAGTGGAAAGGAGCAGACCAAGAAGTCCAGTGAATTCATCTGCCTTAACGTGGTCTCTTATCGCTGCAGAAAGTAGATTCCACGCATATTTAAATAATTATTAATACCGAAGATGTTTTTTTGCTTTGATT